ACGCAAATAACTAGAATGTTTTCACTCCTGTCTTCACCGTTGTTCTTCACATCATCTCATTTAATGAAGAACTGATTTATTGATCCATTGATTCTTCTTCTTATTGGATAAAACACTCGATCATTAAGTCAAATGATTGGATGTTTAAAGTCGGAGGTCAAATCTCTTGAATACTTTCTGATTTTCTGTTCAAGGATTTTCAGGATTCTGTTTCTGAAGCTGCAAAAAGTGTTTGGATTGTAATCATCAAACCGACTGCTGATGTAAATCTTGTTCTGTTTCTGTTGAGACTGTCAGAGCCGTGAGTCGAACACCGTCCGAGCAGGAAGCTCTCGTGTCTCACCTTGAAGAGGGTGGTGCTCTGCAGGACGCTGGAGGTGCAGCACATCTCCCTGATGGAGTGCATGGACAGCTGCGGAGCTCCGATGTCCACCACCGGGATGCCGAGCCGGGCGGCCAGGATCGGTCCGATGGTGGTTCCACAGGGGCTGTCGTTACGGACCATCACGTCCTGCAGGAGACAACAGGACGTCTTAGTCTGAGACACTCTACAGGTAGAAAAACACTGACAGCAGTTTGAAACAACTATAAAGAGACAAAAAGTGACGACAAGGAGGCAGAAAGCAACGACAGAGATGCTAAACAACAGCAAAAAGATGCAAAACTCCTACAAATATGAAAAACAACTACAAAAAGATGCAAAACAACTATAAAAAGATGCTAAAAAAATACAAAAGGTTGCAAAACAATTTCAAAAAGATGCAAAACAGCTACAAAAAGATGGCAAATGACTATAAAGTGACTGCAAACAGACATAAAACAAGCCTGAGATGCTCTAAAGATAAAAACCAGCCTCTCAGGTGATTCTTCTTGAGTGTTTATTTTTCAGCCTGAGGCAATGTCGCCTCTAGTGGCCATTCAGAGGAACTGCAGTGTTTGCAGAACAACATGATTCAGGGATCAAAGGGCCACGAGCTATGTGCTGACATTGAAATTAAACATTTGAAATACAAACCGTTTAGTCGATAAAACAAACAAACTGAGCTACAGGTCTTTAACTTTTCACTTCACTGACACTTTGCCAGATTCTGTAAATATTTGGCTTTTTTTCAAGGTTCTGTTTTTATGCGCTGCTACAGAAACTACGAGGCCAAATCGGGTGAAACTTGGTGGAAAGTGGGATCGTGGTTTGAGGTAGAAGGCAGCACGTTTTGGTGTCCACACTTCAAGCACTGCAGCGCCACCAGTGGGTCAAAGCTGGAGGTGCGTTTAAGCAGGTAACTTTCTAAGCACACCAAACAATTCTATAAATTAAGGACCAATTAGATACACATCAGGAGGAATTAGTACAAAAATCCACATGATGTTGGTTTATCAGTTCATCTAAAGGCTCATTGTATCGTAAACTTCTGCCAGTTGGGATTTTAAAGTTTTTAAATTCTGCTTCTTATTTTTCACCCAAACTGGTGACGACGATCTTCGGCCCAAAACTACACAGAAATCATCAGGTGGATTTCTGATGATTAAATCTGGCGGTGAAGCTGCAAAACAGGAAGCGAAGTCAGTGCTGTCAGAACCAAACCGGGACCCAATTCTGAGGAAGCGAAGCTGACAGAAACAATTCTCTAAATCCTACACACTGCTGACTAATCGAATCATTTTTCAGCTCGAGGTAAACGTCGGACACCTGAAGTTTTCTCAGTTGGGAGCTTGTCAGTCAAAAAAACCAAACATGAAACCCTCAACTGGACGGGATGAGGATTAAAACAGTAGATATAAAGCAAGTCACAGTGAAAAAGTGTTTCTTTGCCAATCAAGAATCCAAACTAGAACGTCCTCACACGTCAGCTACTGTGAGATTTAGATCATCTGCATCAAAACAAGAACATCGACGTCGGTTATTTTTTAGCAGAAAACTCACCGAGGAGTGAATAAACAGTCACGTTATGTGTCTTAACTCTAAATAGTATCGCTTGGCTTCATGTTGCTGCTTCTTTTTTAAGCAGAAGTCTGGTGTTTTAGCAGACAGAGGTTTTCTTTTGACCTTGACGTCTGCTGAGTTCACGTTTATGAGCCGGACGTCTAATGTTTAACTCGCTGTTCAGGAGTCTCCGTGGCTGAGCTCATCACTTCCCTCGCTCGCTATCTTCTTATCAGAGGCTTTGTGCAAAGGCTGATAAAATAATACCACGGTGAGGTTTCTGAGGCGCAGGCTCGTAATAAAGAATTTAAAACGTGTCGCTGCACTGTCTGTTTAATTAGCGTCAAGATGTTTTCCTCTCTTCTAATAAAAACTCTCGTGTTTGTTCCGTGTTTGACAGCAACTGAACTGTCTCATATTAAACCAAACTACATCCCCATAAACGAGGACTACCCATGAAAGAGGAAACCGTTTCCTGCTTCTCGGCATGTCTTGACTCTTTCTGATAATTGCTGCTCATCATCTGCCCCTTGTTTCATTTCACACATGGATTCGTTTCCTCTCCGTCATGCTTTAACGGCGCGACATGTTGCTAGGAGACCTGCCGCCGCCGCCGAATGACTCAAGACACACAAAGAAAATGAGCATCTCCGTCTGCAAACAGCCGCTCCGCAATCACGGCGATCGCACCTGCAGCGGCACCTCGACCCGGCCGGCGACCTCCCTGACGACGGAGGCGGTGACGGCGGTGGTGGCGTAGCGCTGGTTGCTGTTGAACTTGATCACCGGGCCCTGAAATAAAGAAAAGTCGCATCAATAACATCCAAACAACTCGACTAACACGAGTCGTTCCACCTCAGCTCAACAATTTGTGGAAAAGAAATCTCATGCTGATCGATTTTTGCGTTGCTTTCTTGGCGGCAATCTGTCGATCAGCGTTTAAAGAGCCATAACGTGAGAAAAAAAGCATTTAGAGGCCTGAAATGTTGTTGATTCATTGGTAAGTCCATGTGGTCTTCAGTGGTGCAACCCTGCTTTGGTAGAATAACACGAACCAGTTGTATGATGGAGCAAATTTGGTGCAAAAATGTCTTTTTTTTCCTATTCCAATCTTACGAAAAAAACACGTAAAACCTTGACATCTTCTTGGCGCCAATCCATGTATCAACGTTTAAAGAGCCATAACATGAGAAATAATGGATTTAGAGTCCTAAAATTTTGCAGATTCATTAATATTTGCAGATTCATCGGTATGGTGCAACCCAGCTTTGGTAGAATAACACAAACCAGTTGTATGATGGAGCAAATTTGGTCCAACAACGTCCATTTTTTTCTATTCCGATCTTCTACCAACTGTAAAACCTTGATGCTTTGTCAACTGATGCACCG